TGGTTGATAGTCGGAATCCAACGCCATATTCCTATGGTAGTCAGTCAGACCAGTTGATGATATCTCAGCCTCTTTTTGTTTTCTCTGCTAAAGTGCCCATGCCAGTACAACTCAAACTTTATGATCTGCCAATGTTTTTGTCTGTCCTTGAACATTCGACAGCCGCAAATTCGTACAATAATTTTGAAAATTGTTTGAGATTGCAGAAGGCTTTGAAAGGTGAAGTCAGAGAGTGCGTGAAGTTGTTACTCATCCACCCAAATAATGTGGCAACAGTTTTAGAGCAATTAAAACTACAATTATAAAACTACAAACATAGCAGAAAACGCGATCGATAAATTGGTGCCATATTCCATTAAGGTTAGAAATTTAGCAGCATTTTTGGAATCTGTCAATGGTCATCAACATTTATCAAATCCAACTCTGATGGTGGAGTTAGTCCAGAAGCTTCCAATGAGTAAACGTTTGGATTGAGCCCAGTTTGCTTCAACTTTACCTCAGTTGCCGACTATTTTGGATTTTAGTACGTGGCACCAGCGTGTTGCAAATTTGATAAGAAGTGTGCAAATAAGTAGTTCAAGTGGCAGTAGATCTAGCAGTGATCCAAAACGAAAAGTGGTTTTATATGCTTCTGATGGCCCAGAACGGCAGTTAAATTTTATCGTGTTGGCCCACATAAAATGTTTGATTGTAAGAAATTTTTAGATTTTAGTGTGCCTGAAAGATGGAGTGATGTGAAGAGATTGAAATTGTGTTTTTCGTGTCTCAGTGGTGGCCATTCAAGTAAAGATTGTCGTCGCGTAAGCAGTGTCCCATGGAAAAGTGCCAAAGAAATCACAATAAATTATTACATGAAACTAAACCTAATGAACAAAGTGAACGATCCGTTAATGTGCCGCCATCACAGAGTTTCAACAGTCGAGCCAGTGCTTAGTTGTGTTTCCAGTGCTAGTGAAAAAAGTGATTTGTTGTTCAGAGTGCTCCCAGGTGTTCTTTATGGACTAAATTCTGCTATTGAAACTTATGTACTCCTAGATGATGTTTCTTCGGTCACGATGATGGATAGCTGTTTATTGAGACAGCTTGGACTGCATGGTCGACAAAGTCAATTGAATTTGAGTTGGTATGGTGGTAAATCGGCACAAGAAGCTATCATGGTGGTGGATCTTCATGTGAGCGGTGTTAGTAAGAAGATGAAATATGCTTTGAAAAATGTGTATGATGTCTCAAATTTGAAGTTGCCTAGTCAGAGTTTTAATGCGGATTTAGTAAAAAATTGTGGTGTTCCTTTATGCTCCTATGAATGTGTGGCTCCAATGGTACTAATTGGTTTAGATCATTGCCATTTAGGATTGCCCGAAGAAATAGTCCCTTTGGAAAATGCTGGTCCATATGCTGCCAATACGCCTCTTGGATGGGTTGTTTTTGGAAATATGAAAGGAGGTCGCCCTGGAACACAAACTTGTTTGCTGACAACACAGTTGGATAATTTGGTGGCAAGTTATCTTGAAACAGAAAATTTTGGTGTTAAGGCTCTACCGGTGATTGAGTCAAGGGATGATTTGCGTGCACGAGAGATATTGAGAAATTCGACGAAGAGGGTTGCCGGAAGATTTGAGTCCAGACTACTATGGTGTAATGATGACGTAGTCCTGCCGGATAGCTATTACATGCCCATGATTTTTTGGATTGGAAAGAAAAATGAAAAATAATGCGGATTTTGGCTTATAGGAAAATAATGAGTGAATATTTGAAAAAGAAGTATGTACGTAAATTATAATTGAATGAAGTTGAAACATTTCATCCGAGAACGTGGTACTTGCCCCAATTTGGTGTCGTTAACCCTAATAAGCCAGGGAAGATTCGTTTGGTGTTTGATGCAGCAGCAAAGGTGGAAGGTGTATCATTGAATTCAAAGTTACTGAAAGGCCCTCAGCAGTACAAACCGTTGCTATCAGTTTTGTTTAATTTCAGAGTCGGTTCCGTAGCTGTATGCGGAGACATAAAGGAAATGTTTCATCAAGTTGTTGTTGCTGAAGAAGACAGGTGTTCGCAGAGGTTCTTGTGGCGAGATAATGAAAGTGGTCCACCGGAAGTGTATGTGATGCTTGTGATGACGTTTGGAGCTGCCTGTTCGCTCTGTATTGCCCATTATGTGAAGGAAACAAATGCAAAGGAGTATTGAAAACGTTTCCCTAGAGCCGTGAAGTGAATTCTGGATCATCATTATCTAGATGACTTTTTAGACAGTTTTGTTAATACGTCAAAAGGCATTGAAATTGCCGTACAAGTTCGTGAAATACATAAAGCTGCTGGGTTTGAAATGCGTAATTTTACATCGAATTCATCAGAGGTGGTTGTGGCTCTAGAAGGCAGTTTAAATCATCAGGGCAGTTTCTCAGGTAGCTTAAATGAGATGGACGGCTCAACTGAAAAGGTACTTGGTATCTTTTGGGATGCAAAGGATGACGCATTCAAATTTGTTCTGAAATTCCATCGTGTGAATTCTGACGTCATCAGCGGTAAAAGGTGTCCCACAAAGCGTGAGTTGTTATGTGTCGTAATATCAATTTTTTATTCAATTCGTCTTTTGTGCCATTTTATGATAACTGGAGACATAGTGTATTTTGGGACGAGATGTTGCCCGCGTCATTACAAGCAATGTGGAATAATTGACGCCAAGAGATAAGAAATGTGGTCCACGTTAAGGTTCCACGATGGTATTTTGGAATTGGTTTGCCCTTGGAGTTAGAGCTCCATGTTTTTGTTGATGTCAGTGAAGATGCCTTCGGTGCAGTGGCCTATTGGAAATATACAACATCTGATGGACAAATAGGAGTGTCGTTTATATCTGCCAAGTCGAAATGTTCCCCATTGAAATGACCATTCCCAGATTAGAACTACAAGCCGCCGCTTTGTGGAGTGGATTGATGGACTCTATAATGAAGGAACACGATCTCAATGTTTCTCGTCGAATCTATTGGAGTGACTCTACAACGGTCATTAGTTGGATTGGTTCTGAAAGTAGGAGATATAAACCATTTGTTGCCCATTGAATTGCCGAAATACTTGACTAAACATGCCCAACGGAGATGGTTGCCTACGGATATAGTACATGTTGCCGATGACATTACAAGAGCTAAAAATGAAGTTGATTTTGCCATTGAAACACGTTGGTTCCAAGGGCCACAACTTTTGTATGAAAACGAAGCTGATTGGATAAATAAGAATTCTGAGAAATCTGAAGAACTACGCCCCAAACTTGTCATGCAGGTTAGTACAAATTTAGTTATACACAGTCTTACAAAAGTTTACATACGTTTGAAAATTTTCTATTTTCTTTAAGAAAATATAATTTTATGTTGTTGTTGTTGTTGTAACAGCTAAAACTATACAATAATCTAGTTGGGGGGTTCTACATCAATGTCCAGGCCTAAAAATTGGGCTACTTCAACTGGATGCGTCCATAAATCCATTGGACAGAGTGAAGTAGGGTTGGCTGAGCAGTTGAATATGTGGTGGGTGTCATGAGGACCCTGACCACATGCAGGACATTCGTTGGGGACGGCACGGTCTATACGTGACCAGTAGGCATTGAGCCTTTTGCTCCATCCCGATCTTAGTTGTGCCAGAACTACTATTGTTTTCCGCGGCAGGTTTTCTTCGGTGTCTGCTATGGGCGGTGGGCGACCTCCAAGTACGACATTCATGCGGTATCCTGCGACCGCGGAATTTATGGCGTCTCTATGAATGTCGTTCAAAGCTGCCGAATACGAGGACTGATCCAGTGGATCCCGCACATATCTGCATATGTTTTCCTCGTATATACGAAGATCCTTCCTGACATGCCTCGGGGGAGTATCCAATTGTATGATGTTAAAATTGGGATGACTTCTCCGATGACATCCCAGGAGGAACTGTTTAGTCAACATGAATTTGTGTTCCTTGACTGGATGGACCTTCGTTTCCTCGTGCAGTGATGTTCCGAGGTAATTTGTAGGCAGCCCGTTACAGTCCTTAGGGCAGCATTTTGACAGATTTGAATGTTTCTCCACTGGGTATCACTTAGCGAAGGTGACCACACTGGAGTAGCATAGTTAACCACTGACCGACCAATCGTTTTATATGTAGCCAACAAGGCTATATATAATACCCCAAGTGCTGCCGGCTAGCGCTTTGAGGACCTTGTTTCTACTTCGCAATTTGTGCGTGATTGCAGTGGCGTGAGCTGAGGAAATAAAGAGGCTATCAAATGTTACCCCCAATATTTTTGGGTGGTGCACGGTCAGAATTTGGACTCCATCGACCATGATGCCAAGGTTTAGGTTTACTTCCTTCGTCCAGGTGGTAAAAAGTGTTGTTGACGACTTCGCTGGTGATAATTGCAGGTTACGCGCAGTGAAGAACTGATGTATTTCGTGGAGATAACCATTCACCAGAACGCATAATTCATCAATGTTGTGGCCCGTCGCCATGATTGTACAGTCGTCCGCATATGAAATCACTTCCACGCCTTGTGGAGGTGCGGGGAGCTTAGAGAGGTAGAAGTTAAACAAAAGTGGCGATAGTACTCCACCTTGAGGTCTCTAAACTCCACGAACGACTGACGGCCACTCAGATAATTTACGATCCATCTCTTCGTGTTGTTGGGCATTGTGGATTGCAGGATATCCCCGAAGAGTGTGGCGTGACTGACAGTGTCGAAGGCCTTCGACAGGTCAAGAGCCACTAGGACCGTCCTTTCACAGGGCCTCTGCTGGTTTAAGCCTTGTGAGATCTGAGTGGCAATGGCGGTTAATGCTGTAGTGGTGCTGTACATTTTGCGGAAACCATGCTGGACAGCTGGGGGAGGAGAAGCGCCTCAAGAGTCTTCGCGACTGGTGATAGGAGGGAAATCGGCCTGTATGATTGTCCCTCTGTCGCGTCTTTCCAAGGTTTTAAAATGGGAATGACTCCTGACCATAGTCAGGTACTCAACTCCCCGCTCGCCAAGGTGTTTTAACATCAGCATGGATATTCCGTCGGGGCCAATCGCCTTAGATGGTTTGGCGTTGTTGATGACGTCTGCAACTTCAGCTGGGGTGAAGGGTTGTGGTATGTCCGTGACTGGAAGGTTGTGAAGTTTGCGAAGAACACTTCGTTTCGCCTTGTCTCTCTCAGGGTGCTCAATGAATTGCCGGCAAAATGCGCGCGAGCACCCTTCAGGGTCGGAAATGGGGATATCTGCAAACTTAATAGCGACCCTGTCATCCTTCTTCGTCGGGTTAGAGGAAATGGGGATATCTGCAAACTTAATAGCGACCCTGTCATCCTTCTTCGTCGGGTTAGAGAGAGAGATCGAACTGTAGACCACAACTTACTAACACCCGAACTCAAGTTGCAGTTCTTCAAGTGATCTAGCCATCTTTTCCGCTTGTCCTCATTTACCAACCTGCTGATTTCAATATTCAGCTGGGTGAGTCTTGGATCACCTGGGTTGGTATTTCGGATGTCATCTCTTTCATCTGCAAGCCTGGCTGCTTCTGCTGGGAAGTGCGGCCGCACTACGGATATACGACCAGCAGGTATAAAGCGAGCAGCTGCTGAGATGACAGTTTCACGGAACTTCCTCTCTGAATGGTGTACGTTGGAGGGAAAATTTAGATCACTGAAGATGCGTTCGGTGAATTCTCTGAAGCCGTGCCAGTCTGCTTTCTTTTGGTTTACGTATTGACGGCGTTCAGAGACGATAAAATCGTTAGGTCGATCCAGACATACGATTATGGGTAAGTGGTCTGATCCCAGAAAAACTACGGCTCGCCATGTTGCGTAGTTGATCAAACCAGCACTCGCTATGGTGATGTCGGGCGAGCTAGCGGAGGTACCCATAATCCGCGTGGAGGCATCATCATTCAGGATGCAGAAGATGGACTCGTCAATCTGTTCCACCTGCAACGCACCTCTCTGGTCTTCCCCTAAAGAAGAGTGCCAGAGCTGATGGTGGGCGTTGAAGTCCCCTAGGACAAGACGCATATCGCCGTCTAACAAAGTCCTGATGTTGGGACGGTAGCCTGCTGGGCAGCTGGCTACTGGCGGAATATAGACGTTATAGAGCTCTAAGTCAGTTTCTCCCGATCTAACTGCAATACCTTGAACTTCAAGATATTGGTCTCTGGAGTAAGAATCGAGAGAAAGAGCACTATACTGAATGTTGTATCCGTTACAACTTTGCAGACTGGAATTGTTCGTCAGTTTAGTCTCCTGGACCGCAGCGACCACGATGTTGTTGTGCTGCATATATCGGGTTATTAATTTTATTAAAATTTATTTTAATTTTTATTTAATTTTATTAAAATTTTTAGTTACATTTTTGTTGAATGCACTTAAAAACAATAACAATAAAAAAACAATATTTCAATCATATTTTATAATAGTTTGTTATCATTTTAAAAGAATAACAACAAAACACGAGTAATTGGTATTCTTTTAAAGTTACATAAGTTTACGTACTCTGCAACAAAAAAAGGTTGTACCGTTAAAATTTCCGCTACAATTTTTATGATGCTTTGTGTAAAATCACTAGCAGAGAGTTTACTTTCACTTGAAGTGATCACACTTGCAAAATAAAATCAAAAAGTGTTTTTAGTGGAGGAAATGGGCAAAGGCAAAGACATTTCTGAACCAATTCGAAGAACCGTCTTTAAATTGAGAAATGATGGCAAATCTCTTAATGAAATTGGAAATTTATTAAATTTAAGTAAGAGCACAGTGCAAACAATAATAAAAAATTTTAAAGAAAATGGAAATTATGAGAGCAAAGCTCGTAGTGGACGTCCCCGCATTCTCGACAAACGAACAGAACGGTCTAATATTCGTTCTATTCAAGAAAATCCTAAGCTAAGTGCCGTCGAACTAAATCGGAAGATGAGAACAGATCTAGAAATTACCGTTTCTGATCAGACTGTTCGCCGATGTATCAAGAGAAATGGGTACAATAGCAGAGTTGCCAGAAAAAAACCACTACTTAGATCTGTGAATATCCAGAAACGCTTAGAATATTCCCAAAACTACGAAGATGCTCATATAAATGTCCCTACATTTTAGGAGAGGGTAATATTCACAGAAGAATGTAAATTTATGGTTTTTGGAGGTGATGGGCGTACAAAAGTTTGGCGAAAGCCAAATGCGGAGTTATTGCCACAAAATGTTAATTGCACCGTGAAACATGGAGGTGGGTCAGTCATGGTCTGGGGATGTATGGCGGCAAATGGTGTCGGTAAGCTGAGGTTCATCGATGGCACTATGGATAAGGCCATGTATATCGAAATTTTAAAAGATAGCTACCTTCCCGGCGTCCAACTTTTAGATCTGGAGGACAACGCAATATTTCTCCAGGATAATGATCCGAAGCATTCTTCAAAAATAGTTAAAGAGTGGCTTCTATATAACGTAAAACACAAGTTGGAAAATCCCCCGCAGTCCCCCGATCTTAATGTTATTAAGCATTTATGGGATATTTTAAAACGAGGTCTTAAAAATCGACAAGTAACATCAGTTTCAGAACTGAAAGAAGCGTTGATGGATGAATGGAGCAAAATTACTCCAAACATAACAAAAAAATTGACTCTATCCATGCCAAATAGATCATCTGCTGTAATTAAAGCCAAAGGAGGCCATACAAAATATTAATTTTATTTTTTTAAGATTTTTTTTTTTATCCCGTATGTAAACTTATGTAAATTAGTTTTATGCCAAAAAGTGAATTATTTTAAGTTTTTTACGAAAAATTTATGAAAATATATTAGTTTTTTGTTTATTTTATCTCAATAAATTCGATATTGCATAAAAAATGTCATTAAAAATTTTTTCTCGAAATATTTATTAAAAAAATATAAGAGGGGTATGTAAACTTTTGTAAGACTGTGTAGATTTTAACCTTATTTTTTCATTTCTCAGGCTTAAACGTACTATGGCCTGGGTTCTGAGAGTTGTCAATCGTTGCCGGAAACATGGTAAAAATAGTGGTTTAAGATGCCTGTGTGACGAATAGTTAAGGGTTGCTGAAACTAGTTTGTGCCATCTGTTTGAAATAAACTTTTTAAAATCTGGTGGTTCTTTAAAAAAGGAAAATGAGTTATTTTCTCTTTCGCCTTAGTTTGATGAAAATAATTTACTTCGAGTGAGCGGTCGTATTGATGCTGCAAGTTAGTTGCCTTTAGATGCGAGGCACACCATTACTTTGTCGCCCTGTCACCGCTTTGCACAACTATGTGCATAACAAAATGAGACATCAAAATTTTGAGGCTACCATAGGCGAAATAAGGAAAAGGTTCTGGATTCCACGACAACGAAAGCTGTTGAGTAAGACCACATCAAATTGCAACATTTGTAAGATTCGACGTGCCGTTCCAGTGGCTCCTTTTATGGAATCATTGCCAAGTGATAGACTAACTCCATACGCCCGTCCATTTACTTATACTGGTGTGGACTATTTTGGCCCAATAAACGTGACTATTGGTAGACGTCATGAAAAACGTTGAGCTGCCCTGTTTACGTGTATCACAATTAGAGCAGTACATTTAGAAGTGGCTTACGGAATTTTATAAATCGTCGTGGTACCCCGTTGAAGATTCGAAGTGATAGCGGAAAGAATTTTGTTGGAGTTAACCAGGAAGCCCAGCGATTTGATGAAGTATTTGATCTGGTTAAAATTGAGGATGAGTTGTCCACAAAGGGCATTGGATGGCAGTTTAATTGTCCATATAATCCTGCAGAAGGTGGTATATGGGAGCGAATGGTTCAATGTGTTAAAAAGTTTTAAGAGTAACTCTAAAAGAGCACACATAGCAGTTTTTTAATTGAAGCCGAAAACATCGTAAACTCTCGCCCATTAACTCACTTGCCTGTCAGTTCTGAAGACGAAGAACCATTGAAATAAAAAAGGTATTGAAATAAAAAAGCCAGTGGTACTGAAAAGGCAGTGGCGAATTGCTAGACAGCTACGAGATTATTTTTACATGGTGTGAATATACCAAGCCTGTGGCTCCGGGTAATCTTGTACTAATTTGTGATCCAGCTGTTTCCCGTCGAGATTGGAAGAGAGGTCGTATCATAAATGTGTTCCCTGGCAGTGATGGCGTAATACAGAGAGCTGATATCCAAATAAGTAGTGGAATACTTAAATTTGTATGGTGAATCGTTGCCGATCCACGGGGGTGGGAATGTCGCCTAATGGCTCATAAATTTATTTGCCTATTTAATTTATTATTTGTTTCATTTAATTTGAAACATTTTTTGATAATCTAAATATTGTTTGTGGGCTACCCTAATGTTGTTTAATTTTGTCTTATTTACCAGTGATCTTTGTTGTTGTTTAGTTCATTTGTCCGTTAGGATTTTTTATATTGTTTTGTATTAATATTTGTACTTCTTTGTCCCTATATGCTACTGCAGTACTTTCGTTCAGTTTATTTATTTGGAAATAAACTGTTGTAAAAGTACATAAACAAAAAGAAATTGTAGGTTCAGTAACTACTGGCTCTAATTATAAAGTTTAGTTTGTTGGGGATAAAGACTGCGGTAAGTCGCTCACTTTTATTTATTAATAGAAATAAACTGTTGCTCAAATATATCATTTATTTCAGAACATATTCAACTAAAATATATGGATATATGCCCTTATTCCATTTTAGCAAAATTTCAAGTGTTGATTTTTGTTGTTGTGATTTGAATTTTCTACTGAAATTTTTCGGAGGGATAGCTATGAATGATATCTGAGGATATAATTATATACGATATGTCAATAAATTTTTCAAAAACAGTCATATTTAAAACATCGGATAAATACCAGGTAGAATCCCATCTATAAATATTAAATAATTATATGTATATGAGTATATTAGGTGTGTAGATAAATAATTCTGCTAAAATGTTTTCGAACAGAACTATATTATTGGTCATAGCTCCGATTTAACGCCACAGCCGAATATAGCACTCTAACTTGTTTTTTGATCTACAAAAACTTCACCGTCCTTTTAAGAACTTTGCTTATAAAGAACAAATTGTACTCATCCCGCGGAGTTCGTTATAAGTTTGACTATATTTGTTCTTTTGTTGTTAAGGTGGCTAGAATTTGGAGCTTTCTGCCGCTGGATCTTCGTATTTTTTCTCCCTCGTTTGAACTTTCTAACTTCTAAACTAATATTCGGATAATGCTTTTTCATTTTACTCTTGTGACTACTACTTTGGGAATTTATTATTATTTTTATTAGTAATCCGTAATGATTAATTTGGCTGGGGAGCTTATTTGTTTAAGTATACACTATCGGACAAAATAAAGTGCAAAAGTACTTATGATATGTATATTCTTTCAGCGAAAAATCTGTTAAATGATTATTGTATATTGACTTTTTTTAAAATTCATATAGTTTAGTTGCTACAAAAATAACAATAAGACAAAATTATTGTACTTAAAATATTTCTTTATAACACCAAAAATTAAAGTGAATTCAGTTTTTTGTCGGACAAAATAAAGTGCAAATTTTATATATCTTTATATAAATTTCTTATATATCAAATTTTTTTATCTATTTTGGTTCCGATTTACAAGCCACCTACCATTGCAATTCGATTTTATATGCTTTTTGAGTTCCTAGGATCCATATTGGGTTGCTCTTTTATGAATTTTGTTCAAATCCGTTTGTTATTGTTCTTTTATAAGGTAGTAATAGCTAATTGCCCTGAATATGTTAGAAATACTTTTGAATTTTTGCATTCTGACAGAAATCCTCAAATTTTAATTCCTATAATAAATCGAAACACTTACGAAAGATCTTTTCATGTGCGAGTTTCTAAACATTGGAACTCTCTTCCTCGAGTTCTTAGATGTTTTGATTTACGATTTACAACATTTAAAACGCAGCTTTTTGAATATGCATCCACTAATGTGATTTAATGTATTTATTACTTTTTTGCAATGAATTTTTAAAATTATATAGCGCTAATAGATATTATCATATATGAAGTTATTTACACACACATATGTACACATAAGCAATTCATTTTTGTAGTCAGCCTTTTATGTATTAATGAAATTATCTATAATATTGATTTAAGTTGCCTATTTTAACATATGCTAGTCTACCAACTATATATGGCCCTATGGGCTCAGTTGGTTTTTCGTAAATAAATAAATATTGTCCCTAAAAAGATTTTTTGCATATTGTGGTTAACTGGCTATATACGGGTCATGCCACTTTTTTCAATTTAAATAATTTGTAAGAATTTTTATTTCATTAACTCGATATACCACATTGTCCCTAAAAAGATTTTTAGCATATTGTGGTAAATTGGCTATTTTAGGGATCATGCCTCTTTTTCAATTTAAATAATTTGTAAGAATTTTTATTTTATGCCACATATATTTTTTTACACTTTTCAAGAAAGTCCTGATAGAGATAAGAGCGAAATTGATATTTTATATTATTGTGATAAAACAAGGTAAGACAAGTATCATTCTACCAAGAAAAAATTATTTTGGTCAAAATCTCGGGAAATAAAATTTTTTTTTAATTAAAGTTGCTTATAATGGTACTGCATAAATATAATTTCATTTATAATTATGCAAGTTCTTGCTGAATAAATAACCTCAATAAATTTTGCATATAAATTAACTTTATGTACATAACAAAGTCATATTTATCGCATCAAAATACCTAAGACATTGCAGAATATCCAATAATCTTTATAAAATATGCCACAATCATCAGCTTACACAAAAAGCATAATATTATAATGCCTGTTATATAAAGTGCATATCGAAACCTTTTTTGTACAATTCAGGTGTTCAAAATAATGATCCAGAAGCATATAATTAACTACTGAATAAATGCAAGATTAGCTCAAATTTTAATCTGAATATACAGTTTTTTTGTCATTTTATTTAAAATATTTTTTGCCTATACAGAATCATTCTACAGAATATTTTAGCTATATTTAGCCAAATTTATTCTCATATGAAAAAGTAACAAATATAAATATCATATTGAAAATAAAATTTATTTATTTTTTGTTGCATCAACATGATAAGCCACTTTGAAAGTGAACTAGAACTTGTTTTTTGAAAATAAAAAATAATCAACTCGTGTTAGGCAATAACTTGATATGCCACAATTTTTTGCAAATTTAAAAAATCATATTTTTGAGAATTTGTATGTATAAACTTTAATGTCGTTTTATTAAAAATTATATTCTTGAGGCATTTCGCATAAGCCCTTCAATTTGCTAAAAAAAATAACTTGAAAAAATTTTTGAGATTTAAATTTGGTGCCTTAAGTGTTAAGGACAATTGTGAATTACCACGAATTGTGACGTGATGGGAAGAAATCGAAAGCTAGCGTAGGCTCATTGTGGCAAATGCTTTAATTCTATAAACTTGAAAGTTGTACGTTGTACCATACAAACTGGTTCATGGATCTAGGTTTGTTACAATGTGATCTATGAATTTAATACAATATAAAATAATTACAAAAAATAAGAAATATTTACCTCATTTAATACTTGGGTTTGGAGTAATTCTTTAAGCAAGTCTAAACATAAATCGATGTGTCCCTCAGATTTTAATTTAATAGCGCGAATATATTCATTCTCAGCAATTGTTTCCTGTAACAGAAAGCAATACTTAAAGTTCGGACATCTAACAAAAACATCACAAACCTGAGCTTCCCGAGTAGCTACGTGTTCTTCTTCCTCAGTAGATTCGTCCTCACCTTCATCATTAAGAGCAACAATTTTAATCATTTTTATTGAAAATAAAACATAAACATTCTGCAGTTTTGTACACAAAACCAATGAAGATAATCAAGGCGATAGACATAAGGTGGTCATATGCAAGGCGAATTCACATAAGGTGCTTTTATTTAGCAACTTTTACATACACACAAGAAGAAAACAACCGTGGATTTTTGGATTTTTTTTTCAGAGTTGTATAGAATGGTTCTTGTTCAATTTAGAAAAATTTGAATCAATATTTTCTATTCCCTTTATCTACGTTAAGATTTATGTAACTATTTCTTTTTTCATCCTTGAAAAAATTGTATAGATAAATTCTAACTAGTAAAACCGCTAACGGTATAACTAAAGTCGCAACTATAGTTGCATAGTTTTTGTTTTTGAAACACTTGTTGAAGCCCGCTTCACACGAGCATTTAAGTAATATGATCTGTCAAAATTTTGTGTAGAAGAAAACGGATGGGATCGTCTAAACGCAATATGTAATGAAAACATCACACTTTGAGAGGAAATACGGATGGAAAATTTGACAGTCGTATGGCTCTCTTCATTTTTTGAAATGATTCAAAAAACAAGCAAGTCGCATTAGATCAGGGATGTATTTTTTTGTAAACACATACAAAAAAAGTGAAACACTATATTCATCTTACTTTATTATTGATTTATACCAATCGTGTAAACACGAAAAATATGAATCATACGATTTTTATTCTCTTTTTTGTCATACGGATGGAATTTCATTTTACTTTTTCATTAGACTTGTACGTAAAGTGTGATCATCTGAAGACCCCTTAAGTGAACGCCATTGTGATCACTTTGTTAAGTGCTCAACTCCTATTGATAATCTTTAAGGTAAATATAAATTTAATAAATAAAATTTTTATTGAAAAAACGTAACTTTTTCTTGTCTTTTTATTTTTTTCTTTTTTTTGCAGACACACAAACAGTACTTTTTTTGTATACACGTGGAAAAGTACATAAAAATGTAAACAAAGCAAAAAATACAAAAAAACGTTAACATAAAGAAAACAAACCATAAGAAACTCATTGATTTATTTGTGAAATATTGAAAACATTTATAATTCCACTCTGGGCGAAGGAAGATCGTCGTGCATCATTGCCATTATCTCTTTTGGGTAATCAGGCCGTCCTTTTTGCTCTGCCTTCGAGAGTTTTACGTTTCACTACCGCATTGGTTTAGTGTGTGGCGTCGGATAACGGTACCGCGTTACTGTTTTTCGAGTTCTACATATTAACCATATGCATTCGGATTTATAACCCAAATTTTACTTTGATACATGGTGGAGAACCATAAAAAACTTATTGGATTTTGGTGGAGACCATAAAACTCATTAGCTAAGTCTAAGCGATCTGGCTTCCTATACAAAGGTATAGGTCGTTTCGGTATTTCTTGGACAAGGCTTCTTGGATTGTTACCCTGGCACTATGCTTGCTTTATGCGGCGCCATTTAAATTTTTAGATTCCAAAAAAAGAAATATTGAAATATGGAAATAAAATTGAAAATCCTTTTTGAGCACTAAATCTGAAATATGTTATTGATAGGGAATCGAAAAACGATGATATTCAGTGATTTAACAACAATTTGTAAGAAATTACAAATTTAACAAAAAAGTATTTATACTTAAAAAAATTAAAAATATTCTTTGAGCAACAAAACAGTCAACAGCGACCGATAGGTCATCGATAAACTAATTGATTCCCATATTGATTTCATTTATGGGTACTTCCTATTAGAGAATCAATAGACGAACCAAATCCCATATTGATTTTTTTCCTGAGTACTTGCTATAAGATGGTGTAACGTAAGAAACTTTGACAAATTCGCAAATTTTATGAAACGTTTTTATACCAAAAAATTTTAAAGTATTCTTTGAGCTGCAAAACTATAGCGATAGGGAATCGATAAAAGAATCAATCCGCATATTGATTTCATTTCTGGGTACTTGCTATAAGACGGTGTAACGTAACGAACTTCGACAAATTCTACAAAACAGTTTTTATACTAAAAGAATTTAAAATATTCCTTGATCGATAGACTAATTGATTCCCATATTGATTTTTTTCTGAGTACTTGCTATAAAACAGTGTAACGTAACGAACTTTGAAAAGTTCACATTTATTGAAAAAAGATTTTTTGTAAATTTTTTAGTATAAAAACTGTTTTCATAAAGTTTGCGACTTTGTCAAAGTTTGTTACATTACACCGTCTTATAGCAAGTACTCAGAAAAAAATCTATATGCGGTTCCATTTATCTGTTGATTTCCTATCGATCACATATTTTAGTTTTGCTGTTCAACGAATACTTTAAATTTTTTTGGTATAAAAACTTTTTCATAAAATTTGCGAATTTGTCAAAGTTATCTTATAGCAAGTACTCAGAAAAAATCTATATGCGGTTCGATTTGTCTATTGATTCTCTATCGATCACATATTTTAGTTTTGCTGCTCAAAGAATATTTAAAATTTTTTGGTATAAAACTTTTGGAACAAGTCGGTTTTAGTAACATTTCTCAAAAAAAAAAAACCCAATATAGAGCATTTTGAGTCGATAAAAGATATAAAATTTGTTTGTCGGCCACGCAAACTTTCGAGTGTGCGGGGCTCCAAAGTTTAATACATTTTTGTGTATATCTCGAAAACTGTTTTGTTTACAATAAAAATTTATACATCAAATTAAAGGTATTAAAAATACATTTCCAATGATATATAACATGATAAAAAACTAAAATATGGACCGACTTTGAGTTTTTCCGGAAAATATATATTTTGACCCGACTTTTTTTCATCTAAAAGAAATCGGAAAAAATGTCTATATAATTCTATTATAAATTTCAATATGTTAATGGCCAATGAATTAAGCTTTTATTTAAGGTATAAACCATTTCTGTATCTAATCAAATGAAAGAGATATATGATAGTTGTCAGATTCCCCTGATGACGAAAATAGTTCCTCGTGAGAGGCCAACATTTGTATGTTTGTGACATGCGGACCTTCCGAAAGAGGATTATATAATCGGCCGGCATACATTAAAAATTGCTCAAATGGATGTAGGCTATTTGCTTTACACCATCTGAAAAATATAAATTTTTTAATGTAGCCGTTGAAAAATGTTTTTCGCCGATTATAAGCTGGCAAGGACTCTTTTAAATGACGCCACAAACCTTCAACAGTATTTGAATGTTCTCCCGTTGTAGGGTCTTTGAAATGCAGGGAGTGGTTAACTTTTCTATGGGTGTAACCCTCTCCCTTTAAACAATCACATGCCTGAAAAATTATAAATTAATGAAAAAATATATATATATTGAATAAAATAAATGAAACCAACCTTTCAAAAATCGGAAACTATTATTGTTCCGGGGAGAATATACTTTTTGATTATTGGAATCAATGTGTTGGAGTTTCTATTCTCCACCGGAACAATGAAACACCTCCCAGACAACCGCTCTATGGTATGTCCAACACGGCATTGCTTAATAAAGATTTCCTGAATAGCCGGCCTACGGCAGACGCAAGAATTTTCTCCTCTATGGTATGTCCAACACCGGCTTTGCTTAATAAAGATTTCCTAAAGGATTTTCTCATCTATGGTATGTCCAACACCAGCTTCGCTTAGTATACATACGTTTTTTTAATAGCAAAAAAATAACTACTTACAAAAAAATATAATATTATACCTTAATAAAAAGCTCAATATCTTGGCTTTTAAACAATCTAATTTATACTCTTACCTATAAAGGCATTTTCCCCGATTTTTTAGATAAACCTCAAAAATATCGGGTCAAAAATTATGTTTCCCAAAATTGAGCTATAACGGGTCCTTTTTTGTATATAAAAATATACAAAAATATCGGGTCAAAAATTATGTTTCCCAAAATTGACCTATAATGGGTCCTTTTTTGTATATAATGTTACACATCATTGGAAAGGTCTTTGAAATACCTTTAATTTGATATATATATCGGTCCATATATATATTTTTCGAGATATGTATATTTTTCGAGATATAGCCATAAATATTTTGAACTTTAGAGGCCCGCTAAAATAGGCATGGCCGACAAAAAATTTTTACGTCATTTCACTCACAAACGAACTCTCTATGAGTGGTGAAATTTTCGACGTGATTTGAAAAATGTAACTAAAACCAACTTAAGCCAAAAATCAATATGCTGTTACATTCATCTATTGATCCCTATTTTAAAACTTTAAAATTTTTTAGTATAAAAACTTTTTTGTTAAATTTGAGACTTTGTCAAAGTTTGTTAAGTTACACCGGCTAATAGGAAGTACCCATAAATGAAATCAATATGGGAATCAATTAGATTATCGATGCCCTATCAGGCACTGTTGACTGTTTTGTTGCTCAAAGAATATTTTTAATTTTTTAAGTATAAACACTTGTTTGTTAAATTTGTAATTACTTCAAAGTTTGTTACATCACAACATCTCATAGCAAGTACCGTGAAGAATATTTAATACAGAGATCGATTTTATTTTTGCAACTCTGAAAAAAAGTTTGCTAAACGGTTTGTTTTCTTCATAGAGGTCACAAGTTTCACGAAAGCTAGATAACATCTGATTTTAGACTTTTTTAAACGTCAAGGGTGACACCTCTGTATATTTTGTGCATGCGGTATACAAGTCTATGTATAAAAAATTGGAAACAATGATCAGCTGGGATAGAGATGTCACCTTGTATTCAGTACACCCTGCGCAATATGTAATGAAACCATCACACATTGAGAGAAAATACGAATGAAAAATTTGACAGTCGTTCATTTTTGAAATGATTCAAAAAACAAGCAAGTCACATTAGATAAGGGATGTATTTTTATTTAAATACATACAGGAAACAGAAACAGCTGTTTCTATTCGACTTTGTTATTGCCTTATACCAATACTGTAAACGTAAACAATATATATCATACGACTTTTATTCTCTTTACTAAAATACGGATGGAATTTCATTTGATTTTTCATTCGTAAAAAATTACGAAAAAACTTATTTATGACAAATAATTTTTTAATATTAGTGTGCTATTAATTTATATATTTTCTTTAAAAAATGTAAAGTTCCCCAAATTTTTGGTTTG